GGCGGACCCGGCGCTTCCCCGCGGCTGGGGCGCTAGTGTACACACCTTTCGGAGATGCAGGGGGAGAAGCCGAGGGACCCGGAGCCCCTGGCCGCGGGGCGGGGGAGCCTTGACCTGTGGGCGGGACCCAGGGCAGGCCCTTCTCCTCCGCCCCTCCCTCTCGGAGAACGGAGGGGCGCTCCGGCCGACTCCTGAGGCCCCATCAGGGCCAGGGCCGGGCATCTCCGCCCCTGGGCCTCTTAGGGAGGAGAATAGGATTGGCTTGCCTGTCTTTGAATCCTTGGACACACGCGTGAAACTTGACACAATTTAAAGGACTTACTGTGTCCAGAGACTTACTGTGACAAAGGCCAGGGCGTTTTCTGAGGCTTTTAAACAAATACTATCACGGCTGGGAAGTGGCCGAACGTGGCTGGACTCAGAGGCAGAGTCCACCTCCCCATCCCTTCGTTTTTATTGGACACGTAGGGTAGGAGCCTCGTCCATAGGAAAGAAATCGTGATATGTGACCAGGAATTCAGAGATTGTGGAATTTTAGAGCAGAGACAGGCCTCTGGAAGACTGTCCCCATCTGCACTCCCCCTTTCTCTCATGTTACAGTTGGAGAAATCAAAACCTCTCCAAACCACACAATCGCTTTTACAAAAATTCTTCCCATCTTAGATTCCACATGCCCGTGAATGGGCCAGTAGTCTGCGTTCAGATCCTGCTCTGGCCCATTCTTTTACAATAGCTGATCTCCGTGCACTTGCATTCCAGCCTTCCAGGTAGAAAAGCCAGAATTTCTGCAGAAGACTGAGTTTTCAGTTCTGGGAGTCCCTCCTCCCACAGGCGAAAATTAGAAGCACCAACCTGACTAGAAAACTCCCAAAACAAATCCTTCTTTATTGCTATTGCTGGTGCCCTGAATGAGGTCCTCTCTCTTGAACTAATACAATGCTGTGAGGATCAAGGGGTACAGTTCCCATTTTACAGATAAGAAACCCTGGGCTCAGAGAGGCAAAAAGACTTGCCCAGGGCCACCCAGCTAGGAAGTGGCAGAACAAGACTCCATCTCATTCTCTCATTCCAAATCCCCTGCACCCGTGGGTCCCAGCTGTTGGGTGTGGCCCTGGTAATGACAGTGTGTGCATTTGTTTCCAGGAAGGGTGGATAGAGGGGAAGAAGCATTGATTACCTGCTCTGTACCCATTTACTGAACGTTATTCCACAAACACGTCTTAAGTCCATAGAGTTTGGTGTCATTATCCCATTTCACAGGTGAATAAATAGTCTTAAAGAAAGTGACTTATCCATGGATGGTAATAGGTGGATTTAAATCTGGGCCCTGTCTAGGGCAGGGGGATCTGTGTTTATTTCTATAGACCTTGGGAATACAGCACAGCACAGAACAGGAATCCTGCCCCCCTTGGAACTTACCCCTGGGGGAGGGAGGAGACAAACAGTAAATAAATAAGTGAAATACGCATGGTATGCTAGGTGGTGAGAAAAGTGCTATAGAAAAATAGAGCAGGGAAGGGGGATAAACAGTAGGGAGGTGTTGCCATTTAAAATAGAGTGGTCAAGAAAGGCTGTATTTACATTAGCCTTCAGGAAAATGCAAATCAAAACTGCAATGAGATACCAGTTCACCCACTCCAGGATGGCTGTGATAAAAAAGGCAGATGGTAAGACGTGACTAGCGCGAAGAAGGCGCAGCGCCACGATCGTACCTAATTGGTGAGTCAATGAATGAACAGCCAGCTGGCGGAGCCGGCAGGGAGACCCGAACCGCCCAACTTCCGGGTCGTGGTTGCGTACGTCAACGTGGAGCGAGCCTGGCGATTGGCCAGCGGAGGCTGCCCGAGTCCCGGCTGGCACGGAAGCTGCGAGGAGAATCCCCTGGGCGGGCTCTGAGGCGGGGCTTCCAGGGCCCGGGCTTCCAAGGGGCGTGGCCAGGCCCCGGAGGAGCGACTGCGCACTAGAGCCGCGCTGTCGCCGCGGTGAGAAGAGAGACGCGATGGCGGGGCCCGCGTGGATGTCCAAGGT